CTTAAGAATGTATCAAGTCATGACAACTTCTATGGAAGACGACTTCGGACAAGATTCGTTCTACATAGTCGCCCTGGCAACAAGACCAAGTTGCGACAACCCATTTCTATACATCGAAACGAGACTGCGACCATACCAGAGGCCACAACATCTTGGTCTTCATATCTTCATATCTTCAATAATTTCTTTCAGTTTTGTCTTTTTAAAGCATCACCTCACACGAAATGGGATAAGCACAGCTGATATATCCGATTTACTGGCAGTCTCAAATGCCTAATCGAAAGGAAAAATAGACTTTTAATTAATCGCCTTCAGGAGGCTTTGATGACATTTCATACGAATTCCCCTTTCTGTAGCAACCACTCATAGCCAACACCTTGCCTCTTTGTGTTATAAACGCAGACCATAGCAACATGGTACCACCAACCCTTAGTCTTACGGCCTGTATGTGTGTCCTTTCCTTTCTCCACCCTGTTCCCGTCGCGATTGGATAGCCGCAGAGAAACTCAATGCATCTCATTGAAGGTCCTCAGTCCGAATGCCCACCGCAATTCGTCGCCCAGCCGACACCTCAAATCACGGTGGCCGAAGGCGAGTCCATCACGTTGACTGCCCGTGTTCGTCCAGCCGGTGACACTACGCTCAAGGTGGAATGGTACAGGAATGGGAAGCCGTTGGCAGCAGGTGAGTACCAAGTCATTTCCCACCGATCTGGGATTCCGCCAGGCATAAGACCAAGTTGTAAATGTTGTCATCAAACTCAAAATAGTGATGTAACATGTGGAACAGCATTTTATACTTTATTGCTCTTGTCTTTTGTCTAATCCGTGAATAACTGCTACTAAATGGACTGGCGTGTCAATGATCATTCTGATGATATTTACAATAAACTCGATATACTCGAGCATACTACTCATTGAAGGTTCTGAGAAAACATCTTTGTCGTTATAATGTTTTTGATAATTTCAAATTGAATGACAATTTAACGGTGACCTTGGATTGCTTTTATTTTAAAAAATAATATTTTCTACAAACAAATATCATTTTAGCGGTTGTCTGACCTTGTTTTCGTAACTTAATCGCATTCGCAGGAAGATCTAGATCTGGAATCCATAGTATGCATGATGATCTCCAGAATCGGACCATGGACTTGATCCGACTATAGACTCCAGACAAGGTGCCAATATGGCTAATTTATGAAAATAAGTTCAAAAAACAACTACACATCGAAATGAGATTGCGACCAAAATGGAGGCCACAACATCTTGGTCTTCGTTTTCCCAATTTAATATACTTTTCTTCAGAAATGAAGGCCAAATTCATTTGACTCTTAACTCTCATTCTTATCCAGTCTAATATTCTGTTAATTATTAATTTATATTTTTATATATTTATAAAAAATTATCTTTCCTCTTTGAAAATATGAGCTTTTAAAACGCTTCACCCTTTCAATCAAGCGTCACCATTGGCTGGATATAGGACTTTTCACCTTTTTGATAGTCATCATTTCATGCTGACTTTGGGTCCCTTCTAGCCTCCAAGTCGGAGGTATATCAACAATTTAGACAAAACGAACCAATAAGTTAAACCAACCCACATTTAGGCCAGTTTAGTCGTAATCTCCCCAACTGAAAGGACTCATATTGTAGATACGAAGAGAAACTTGGTTTCGATGAATCTCCTGATTGTTAGGGGGAACTTCATTTCGAATGAAAGTACATGATGAAGAGATTCGTTTGTCGTTCTCAGCGACCATTTGACTAAAGAGTTAGAACGGCTGACAAATATATTCCTAGAAAATAATTATCCTTTAGGCC